ATCTGCATGATTTTCTGGATGGGCGAATTTACCCAGAATCCAGCATAATAGTGGTGTACTTTTGTACATTTTCAGGAAAACTAAATTTAAAATAATTGACAAACCCAGTAGTATGATGGGATTGTTTTTACTCTTTGAGTGCCATTTGTCATCATTCATCAAGTTTAAACCCTTGTTATTTTGCATGAGTTTTCTAAAACATTGATTAAAACTTGTAGTATGTTCGAAATTATGTATATTTGGTCTGAAATTATCAAAATAAAATATGGAAAAATACATGACAAATTTTTGCACCAACTTTTCCAGGGAAAAAATCATGACGCTTAATATTTGTGGTATTGAAATATGAATATGCTCTGTGGTCATCAATTACTCGCATGATGTGGGTAAACAATTGATGTTTTCAGAAAACATGACTATTTAATTATTGTTTTCATATTATTGTTTTTTTTTCAACAGATGGACTCAGTTCTAGAATCTATTGTTACTGATTCGCAGAGTATTTCTGAATCTGCCAAACGTGAAGTGAAACGCCGTGCTGATGCAGAAGAAGAACTTGCATCCATTTTACCACCTGATGTGATTGCCATACTCACCCAAGGTAAGATAGCTGTCCTCCCTATTTATAGTGGAATGTCCCATGATACTGGCCACCATTTTAGCACCTGATGTGATTGCTATGCTCACCCAAGGTAAGATAGCTACCCTACCTATTTATAGTGGAGTGCTCCATAATACTGGCCACCATTTTACCACCTGACCTGATGTGATTGCTATACTCACCCAAGGTAAGATAGCTGCCCTACCTATTTATAGTGGAGTGCTCCATAATACTGGCCACCATTTTACCACCTGACCTGATGTGATTGCTATACTCACCCAAGGTAAGATAGCTGCCCTACCTATTTATAGTGGAGTGCTCCATAATACTGGCCACCATTTTACCACCTGACCTGATGTGATTGCTATACTCACCCAAGGTAAGATAGCTGCCCTACCTATTTATAGTGGAGTGCTCCATAATACTGGCCACCATTTTACCACCTGACCTGATGTGATTGCTATACTTGCCTAAGGTACAATTAGTGCCCTACCCATATATAATGGAGTGTCCCATAATGCTGGCCACTATTTGTTAGAAATTGTTCTGTAATTCAGACATTCTAAATCACAGTTCAATTTTTAATGCTTTTTATCCCTGTTGCTACCTTAATGGTTTATCCACCTGTGGGTTATCTAATGTACAGAAAAAAAAAACACTCTTTGTCTGAAATTCCATGGTCCTGTAGAATAGAATAGAATATTTTATTTGACTCGAAATAATGTAAGAAATTACATTACATCCTGTATGTTTCTCCTTGGCATACATGTAATTATAGACAAGTAATTTGTTAAATCATTCTTCTTTTTTAAAATGTATTATTGCTTAGTTCAGCGTTTATTATAAAGGAATAAAAAGTATTATTACTTATTCAAAGAGAGTGATTTTAATGAAAAATTCTTGTTTTTGTTGCTAGGTGACCAGTATGAGAGGGAAGGTGAAGAGCGCCACCATACTGCACATACAAAGTTTGTTGCCACTATTAAAAAATTCTTCACTAAACTACAGACTGAAGAAACTAAATTCCATGAGAGACTCGCAGAATTGGAGGTAAGCTGTGATGTCTTGCATCTGCTTTCTCTTGAACACAGCAACAATGTGAAATGCCATCAACTTGTTTGTGTTCAATATAGTTTGTGTTCTATTTTGTGACATACTATTTTAGTGAATTGTGGTAAAATGACGAAATAGCAAAATGTTGATTTAGTGAATCTCTCTTGTCTTTGTTGATTTCCTGTTTTCACAATACTGGTCTGTCTCATGCCAAAACAATTGTGCAGTTATCACTTCCATAAAAACAAAGAAAAACTGTCAAATGTAATACGGAAACAGTCCAGATTATTACGTTTTCTGTGTTGTTTACAAAGTGTGTGTGTGGAGAAAAAGACGTTGTTTGGCCGCCATTTTGAATTTATAATGAAGTCATTAGCGACATCTTAAATTAGCGAATTAGTTCTCTTGCTAAATTCGTAAAAAGACATGCTCGCGAAAAAGACATGTTTTACAGTAAATCATCACTATCTCTGTACGCATTCACACACTTTAATCACAACCTCACTACAATTTGGTATTTACTTGACAGGATGCCATGAATCCTGATGCAGAGGATACAGTGTTACAAAGATATAAACAAACTAAAGCTAGATTACAGAGTGAATTACAGGATCAGTTGTTAACTAGAACAGAACAACTAGATGAAGAGCATTCCTCTTTGGAGTATGCTAGAGAAAGAAGTGAACTACTGGGACTGG